AAAGGCCAACTTCCCCCCCCCCCCCCACCCACCCCGCCCAAAATTCTCTTTCTTAGAAGAAACTTTGAAAATGCAAGTGCTTTGACCATCTTTAATCTAAAAGTATATGAGGGAGAATTATTTCTGCAGAGTTCGGGAACAGCCAGAAAACCACGGGCCCTTTTCCCCTCCTCAAACAGGCTCTAGTCCCTTTCCTTGACCAGAAGAGGCCTCAAGCTGCCCAAAGTCACTCTCCACTGGACAAACTTCAGGTGAAGCATCACTGCCCTATTGCCAGGAAGCAGCTTCCTCATGGGCTTTCCTTCGAAACACACATGACAGTGGCATTAGGAGCCGCTGTAAGGACTGCAGGCAGGATACTAGCTGCACATTTTCCTGGTTTTTCTACATATGAGTACTAGGTTTTTAAATTATCAGCAAGTGCAAGATCCCATCATTTTGTCCTGCTGACTTTCTTTCTGACAGCCCTTCTACCTGATCTAAGGAAAAAGTCCTTCCTGATCCTGAATGTGCTGATCTTGAGAACAAGACCCTCCACTCAGGAACAGGGATATGGTCAGTGAGGAGTCAAACTCTTTAAGCTTACCTGCTTCTGCTAACAAATTCTCATCAAGGGACCAAATATCAAAACAGAGTTGGGGAAATCAGACCAAGAAGAAATCAATTTTGCATTTAGCAAAAGTAGTTATATGTTCTATCACTGGGGAATGATTAAACAACAAGGAAAAAAGGGGAAAGAACAAAAGTTTATCCAAATCAAATGTATAAGTCCTTGCAATGTCTCCACTTGAAATTAGCTAAGGCTTTAAGTAAAGCAACAGTGCAATGCAGGTCATTTCCAGTTTCAGTGGCATTTACAAATCCCAAAGTTTCCTAGTTTGGGGTCATTTCTCTCCAGTACCCGATATGCCACCCTCCATTGGTTCCCATCTAGCAGTTTCTGATCCTACAGTCCATAAAGACTCTGATAGATAGGCAAAGAGATTAGGCTTTCTGTTTCAACCACTTCTTGCTCTCTGTAGTGCGACAGTCCAACAACCCAACCCTGCCCCTCCAGGGACATAAGGATTAAACTGAATAATGTGAGGATGAAGTGGGTATTTAAAGGTCCTCTCTGCCACACTGTGCTTGTATCTCAACGGCAGAGTCAGAGTTGGGGTTCCTCAGTAATATACTCCAGCCAAGGGTAGATTTTCTCCCCACCAAACGAGGCTTGTGAAAAGGT